TATTGCCTGGAGTATTGTGGAACTCATGTTTTTTGTTGTTGTTTTCTTTTTTTCTTTTGAGATAGTCTCGCTCTGTAGCCCAAGCTGGGGTGCAATGGCACGATCTCGGCTCTATGAAACCTCTGCCTCCTGGGATTACAGGCATGTGCCACCACTCCCGGCGTTTTTTGTTTTGTTTTGTTTTGTTTTGTTTTGTTTTTCCTGACAGAGTCTTGCTCTGTCACCCAGACTGGAGTGCAGTGGCATGATCTTGGCTCACTACAACCTCTGCCTTCTGGGTTCAAGCAATTCTCCTGCCTCAGCCTCCCAAGTAGCTGGGATTACAGACGCCCACCACCATGCCCAGCTAATTTTTTGGTATTTTTAGTAGAGATGAGATTTCACCATGTTGGCCAGGCTAGTTTCCAACTCCTGACCTCAAGTGATCCGCCCACCTCAGTCTCCCAAAGTGCTAGGATTACAGGCATAAGCCACCGTGCCCGGCTGTATTTTTATTTTTTAAGAGCAGCTATAGGTCTAGGTTTTTAATGTAAATATTTCCAATTAAAAAATATTAGCAGCCAGCTCATTTATAACAAACACTGTACAACCCAAACAAAATACATGTGCAGGCCAGGATTTGGCTCAGAGCCTACCAGTTTGCTACCCCTAGGCTGTTGTTTACATCTATGAACTCCAGGAACCTAGTCCTCTCTTTGTAAAAGGTACAGATGTTCATGGGTGATTGGACACCCCCAAATGAAAGACAAGAAAGTGTGGATGATGATGAAGGCTTTAAGAAGAGTCACTCAGAGGATTGGTAGTATGTTAAATTCATCCATTCCTCAAGTAATATTTATTACATGCCCTAATATGGGCCACTTATAGGATTAGGTGAGGGACATACAATAATGAATAAACTACAGCCCTGCCACTCTCTTACAAGCTTACATTCTAATGAGGAAGACATTAAATGATAAAGTAATTTCAGTTAGTGGTAAGCATTGTAAAAAAATTGGTGCTGGTTAAGGGATAGAACGTGACAGGGGTGCTTAGAGAGGCTTATTTTAGAAGGGGTGGTGAAAGCAGCCCCTCTGGAGAGGACTGCAGAGTGGGACCTAAATAAACACTATCTCTGAGACAGACACATCCCCACATGAGGATGGCAATAAAGGCGCAGGAAGAGATGTGCGTATACAAAGAACAGAAAAAGCGAGGTTGATGGGAGCGGCCAGCAAGGGGTATTTTACAGTGATATGGGAAACCACTGGAGGCTTTATATATTAGAGCAATGTGATTAACACTTTAAATAGATCATTTTATCTACTGTTCAAAGGAAGGACTGTGGCAAGGGCATGACAGACAGAAATCGGACTACACATACCAGAAAAGTGATAGCTGAAACAGGGAAATTTGATGAACTATAAAAGCAGGCAGGGTAGGAATTTTCTTTGTACTTAGAACTGGGTTAGAATTATATTGAACATAGATGGCAAAAGCAGAAGGGAGAAGAGGACACCTGAAATCAAAGAGCCCAAGCAGTTTTTCATGCCTTAATTATAAAATCTTGTACTGTTCAAGATTTTCTATAAGGTACACACATTATTGAAGATACTGTATTAGTATTAGTGAAGGAGCATTCTCAAACAGCTGTCTTTTGAACTGTATTTATGAGAGTGGTAGAATTCAAACTTTTCTGAATATTTGAGTGCTTTCCAATATGAAGTTTGGGTTGCAGTGGTAAAAATAAATCCTATTTGCCCAACACATATACTACACAAAGTGTTGTAAGGGCCAGTAGACAAGAGGTAAAATAACTTAAGTCACTGTGGAGGAATGATTTAAAATGCAGAGCTGACAAGGAAGTCCATGTTCCTTCCATGTAATAGACGGAAATATTCAAATGATTACAAAGTCAACCTTTGAACAAATGGAAGTGTTCAAATGGTTAGAACACCAGGCTGTGGCTTCCAGCCTTAGAGTGAAAGGGATGAGGGGCTCAAGGCCCACACAATGAACGCTGCTCCCTTCCAGTTTTCACGTAGGGAAGTGATGTTCCCCTTAACAAACCTCATGCACCTCCTGTCTCTCCGACCCCTGTAATATGCCCATGCATAAGACCCTCAGCATGTCCATGCTTTTAACTTCATTTTTAAAAATCTGTTACGTAAATTTTCAAACTTATGATTGTTAAAAAATTATTTTTTGAAAACTTTCATGAAAACTGAATGTTTTAAAGTAAGCTTTTGATGCAGACTGTGGTGTTAATAATGGGGTTATAAGTGGCAATACTTAAAAGCAATTAAAGCAAAACTTAGAACTTCAGTTCTAAGAAAGAATTAGTCATTTTTATGTTCACTTTGTTTTAAAATGTGAACATGGTTAAGAATTTCACCGGTCTTTAAAGATACCAACTGCAAAGGACAAACGTAATGTTCCATAACATGAAAGGACTTGTATTAAGAATCAGGATTTCGCTGGGCGCAGTGGCTCACACCTGTAATCTCAGCACTTTGGGAGGTGGAGACGGGTGGATCACAAGGTCAGGAGATCGAGACCATCCTGGCTAACACAGTGAAACCCCGTCTCTACTAAAAATACAAAAAAAGTAGCCAGGTGTGGTGCAGGGAGCCTGTAGTCCCAGCTACTCGGGAGGCTGAGGCAGGAGAATGGCGTGAACCCAGGAGGTGGAGCTTGCAGTGAGCCGAGACCATGCCACTGCACTCCAGCCTGAGCGACAGAGTAAGACTCCATCTCAAAAAGAAAAAAAGAAAAAAAAAGATTTAATTCGTGGGTCATTTAAGGAAAAAAAGTATCAGGATCATTAGGACAAATAACATTTTCGTTGCTGTAATGGGCCAACCAAAACATGAGACAGAGGACAGAGGGAAAACAGATACAAAAGCCAGTGAAGTACAAGCACCAATGGATAACAACTGAGAACCCAGTAAAATACCTGGTGGATGAGGCAGCAACCTAGTTTTCAGTTCTAAAATAACAATCTGGGTGTCCAGGCTTCTGAATTCCAGACAAATAAAAAAATTAAACCTGAATCTGTTCAAGCCTCAAGATCTACCAGTTTACTACACAGTGGACAGAAAAATGTGTTCAGTGACAGCACGGAGTTACAATGAACAAACCCAGAAGGTGAAAAATTCTTCTGGACATGACCCAATTTCAAGTAAGAAATACGGAGAAGCCTGTGGTTAAAGCCAATGCAACATATTTGGACTTTCAACAAACCAGTTAAAACAAATCAGAGATGAGGGCTTTCTGGATACTGACAGGGGTAGTATAGCATTACTTTTAACTCTTACAATAAAGCTATATGGTGATGTTTTAAAAATCCTCAATCTTGTGGATTGAAACACTTGGGAACAAACTTTCCTTGTATGGGATTTTCTTCCCAATAGCAAGGGTGGAGTGGTGAATTAGTGGGATACAGATTAAGTAAGTTTTGCTAATCATTATTTTTGGAGCTGATAAACAGGTATTATGGGTATTCCACAATTTTGTTTCTCAAAATAAGTTTGAAAATGAGTATTACTTTTAGAGAAAGCTTTGAAATAGCCATAGAGCAGCATGAGGTTAACATCCTTTGACAACTTAGAAAACAGATTCAGTAACAGACAATAAGACAAAAATCAAGACCCTGAAAAAAATTTTCGTCTAGCCCACAAAGCCACCTCTAAAAACACCGTTAACATACAAACCTCATTCCACATGCACGTGTATCCTCCACAACTCCCCATCTTCACAAACAACCCTCACCCACAGCACTCTTATCTCCCAGCAAAGATAAAGCACATAAGTAATTTCAGTAAGAATTTAATACTTGGGAGGCTGAGGTGGGAGGATCACTTGAGGCCAGGAGTTCGTGACCGACCTGGGCAACGTAGCAAGACCTCGTCTCTAAAAAAAAAAAAAAGTTAAAAAAAAATTCAAGATTAATTTGCTAACAGGGCCTTTGCTGACATTTGCCTCTGCCTTTTTTCAATGTCTTGTAAAGGAAACAAACTGTTTAGCATTTAGAAGCAGTTAGCTTTTCAGAATATCAATTTATAATTCAGCAATGTGTATTACAAATCATGCAGAAATGTCTTAATGAACTACCTACCCTCTTTCAAGCATGAAGTGGCTAATTTACACTGGGTCTTGTTAGTTTCTGGTTAGTCTTTATAGTTACAACTATAACTAATTTAAGTAGCACTCCCAACACTTTTATATCCTAATGAATCTCATCTCCTTCAAAGGAGTTGCCTTGAGAAGCTATTTTTTCCAGCCTCCACCACTTGCCATTGGTGAACACATTGTAAGACTTTGGAATCCTCTTCAGAAGCTGTAACTTTATTTTTAAAAATATCCTTAGCAGTAATACATCTTCCTCTTTGTGGGTGTATTTTATTTCTTGAAACAGCAACAAATCACTTGGAGCCAAGTCTAGTGGACAATTAAAGTAGGTAAAATAAATGTAATGGGGACCTTAGTGTAATTATAAAGTAATGCAACATTTTTGACTTTTAAGATCTGTAAACTGATTTCCAAAATCTTGAAAAAAATACCAAATGTGAGTAACTTGAAAACGTTCATTTGGATAGAAATTCCGGCTTTTTCATCAAAACTTCACTTCTTTGTGATCAGCTTGTATTCTATCAACGACTCAAGTTCAGGGGCCTCGCCTTTTCTCCTAGCCTACATAAAAGTCATAACATTAAATGCCTAAATTATACAGAACTGTTAAAGCTCAATAGTTACTAAGTTTTGATTCATTCAATACAGCACCTCATTTCAGAAATAGTACTTAAATCTGACTCAAAATTACCTTATGCAAATCAGGTTTTTTGGTTTATGCTACAATATAATATTTAATGTTACATTGTTGGGTGACTCCCATTCCCTTTTTCCATATATACAGTGAAGACTTACAATACCTCACAATGCAGTTAAGAATTGCATTTTAATAATCTCATACTACAGCTAATGGAGGAAAGAGTAAGTTCATCAGAAAACCAGTACAGCCATTTTGCTATTAAAATTTTGCTTTTTAATAATTTATTTAAATAAGATATTGGAAGCAGTTTAGAAAAAACAAGATTTGTATTTTATTTCCTTGTAAAAATCTTTACACATGCAGACAAACCAGTGTTAAGAAAGTATTCACCATCATTTAAACAAATAACCACTTAAATAGAACAGTGTCTGCAATTTTATCTGTATAAAAATAAGATACATTTTTACAGAATTCACGCTCCAGTTCTTATAGCAATAAACAATACACAACTATAATAAAGTACAATTGAACCTGACCATGGTTTTTAATTAGATACTGCTAGGGCATTTTAATGTGCAAAAAAATTAACATAGTTCTTTTCAAAAGAAAATGTCCTCAGTGTTCTAGAGACCTAGAGGGTTTCAAGAAATCAAATCCTAATCAGTTTGCGTTTAATGTTTTGATTGAGTCCATACATCACACTGTAGATAGGCAAAACCAAGAACTGATGCAGGCTCAAAGGAAGAGAAAATCAGCGCCTGTGCCTGCCATGTCCTGAGCGACTGCCACCATGGTGCTTGCTTTTATGGGACCTCTCAAAGGAGCGAGATCGTTCACGCCTGTCTCTATGATGTCCCCTTTCATGCCTGTGCTTCTTGGCTGCATCTGAGTGATCCCGAGACTTGCTCTGAGATCGAGAACGAGATTTTTTCCTTTTATGACCATGTCTGTTTGAACTTTTTAAATCATCTCTGGTATGCTTGGCCTTAAGGTGAGGAGAACCATGATTATGATGTCTTCGAGGGCTTTCACTGTGACTGCGGGACCTGCTTCTTGATCTCGAGCTGTATGTTCCAGATCGACTCCGCCTATTATTATAGCTTAGATAATAAAAATTTGAAGTTTAGGTTCAGTTTCTATGGGGAACAGATTACTCTGGTGGTCGCTCATAACAGGTTCAAAACAAAACTACCAGCTACATAAATGACAAACCAGAACTTTTCAAAATCTCCCCACCCATCACTGCTGTATGCCCAAGCCTATATATCACATATTAAATCTTAAGCAAATGTTCTTATGTCTATATTCCAAGGGGAGTAATTAGCAATTTTTAGTGTCCTAGAGCTATGCTTTTTATTAAATGTCTCCCACATGTTCAAAAGACATTGAAGAGCCATGAGGAGCTAACAATCTAATTACAAGCCTAACTAGGAAGGATTCATTGGTTAATTTGATTATTAGTTATTAATAAGGGGTTAATGAAATACATTTTCTAACTGAAATTTTTTAAAAAAGGAGTTTTCACATTAAAAACAATACTATGGCCCTCAAGCACTTTGTGGGTAGCTCCTACACTTCTCCAAAAAACATGGGAGAAAATATAACAGAATGCCATTAAGATACTGTATGTCCAGAACATCTCCAGACTCATTTCTCATAATTTACCTCATATTAAAAGCCTAATTCTAACCTAACTTTGAAAATAATCTATGTTCAATTTTTAAAGAAAACACATTAACCTTTCAAAACCCCAAATAAGACTGCTTCTCTAAGAAAACATTTACTTACTGTCTTCTTGGAGTATGTGATCTAGAACGTGATCGTGTTCTTGACCTTGATCGACTTGCACTTCTGCTATTTCTACTTCTCTTGCTGTCTTTTCTTACACTTCAAAAAATCATGACACATTAGTTACAAACTTAGTGTGTTAAAAAGTAAACACATAAAAGATTCCTCAAGCCAGTTTTCCAGCCCAAGTATACTCACCCATTGTAAGGGCTTTTGGAAGCCTGTTGTCTATCCTCAGGTTCTTTTTTTACTGTCTTCACATTAATGGAGATTGGTGATTTCTCTTCAGCTTTTACTTCTCTTGGCGATGCTTTTAAAAGACATAACAGCATGTTAACTACTGGATTTAACAGAGGGCCAAAAAGTTGTTTCTAAATGTAACTCAAAGTACCATGCTTCCGCTTCCAAGTATCAGTCTTTAGTTGACTGCCATAAGAGAACATAGTAGCAGCTTCTTAACATCATTTTTCTCTATGCAACTTTCAAATGTAAAAGCTCTCTAATAGAAATACACTTTCAGTGCCCCCAAGTCGTTTTAATTCTAAATACATCTTACATGGCTTGGAGGCTGGAGAAAATCCACCGAGGGTTGAAAGGGCTGGAGTTCCATCAGGATTCAATCCCTTTGCTTTTAATTTGGCTTCTTGTAAGGCTACTTTTCTTTTTTCTACTTCTTTTTCCAGTAATTCATAGTTTGGCTGTTGGGGAAAAAAGAAAATTAGTATTTCTCCCTTACAGTAGCTTAGACTCTTAGCATCTTGGCACAAACGAGTAAATAGAGAATACCTTTTTTCTGGTATAAAGCCTAAGCGTTTCTATGCAGATTTCCTGGATTTCCTCTTCCGTAGTACCAAAAAGAAGAAACCAATGGGGACGAGTTGGCAATGGAATCTAAACCATAAGAACAGAATGGTTTAGATTAAATTTTTGCTAAATCTGTATTGGAACCACCGAAAATTTGTGTGATTTATCCTACAGAACAAAATGGGAAATATACACCTACCTGAAGTGCTCTAGCTGCAAGGTAGATGCAAGCACATGCTATAGTCTCTGGTTGAAATCGAACAAAAACATTGGTTCGAAGACTGTCATTCATGTAATTCCTGAAAAATATTTCAACTATAAGCTTGTATGTAAACAAACCAGTTCTTCTGAAGCTTACATAAAATTGGAGACTCAATCTACTTTATTCTTTTTTCTTCTCTTATTTATATTCACATCCTCATATTCTAGCATATAACAACTCTTAATTCAAAAAAATCAGCAAGTAGTAAGAATTTAATAGTAGGACCATTTGCAATTTTCCTATACATGAGCGAAGCTCTTTTAAATTATTTCGTATTACAATCCAACTAGAAATTACTCCTAAACTTATAATATATTTCTGTAAAAAGCAATGCTTTCAAAGTCAATTCTGACATGATTAGTTTCAGAAATGATAAACCACTCCAATAATACTTCAAGCCATTAATTACTGACCATCTCTCCTTTATCCACAATAAAAGCAGTGTCAATCAAGTTCTTCTCAAAAGCTCAAAATACCGTTAACAGGGGTAAAAAGGCATTTTCAGTAGGTAACAAGTTAAACTTATATTAAGAAAACTAAGATATTTAGAAAATCTAGATAGGGAAGTAAAGAGCAATAAACACATATAATGGCCTTGTTTACATACCTTTTTTGTGACTAGGTAAAAGAGATAAACTACTTCAGTTAAAAAATTGCTGAACTTTTATTAATGAACCCTCCCCACAACATTCCTAAACTATTAAAGAAATTTTACAGGTCATTTAAAAGGTTAAGCTGAAATTAAATGGACTATTTCTTAAAAATCCTAAACCATGAGAACTGCTATAATCCATTTTATGCAACACATACTTAAAATGTCATGCATTTTATAAAAGTAATGAGACTTTTCTAACATTACAAATATTTACTGAGTCCAAAAGAAGCATGGCAGTCATTAAAAGGACATCTTGCTGGGAAGTCCAAAATATAAAAATTACTTCACTAAGTCCTTCACATCAATAGTCTTAGGAAACAGTAGTTGTGGCTGATCCACAAACTCCTTGGCTTGACCTTTAAATAAGCCAGCACTCTGAATCACACATCTGCATCTCAAAAAGTCCAAGTGCTAAAGCATTTAAGCAATATAATAGTAACATCTCTTTTAAAAATGAAGTGCTTCTTGCTTCTAATATTATTATCCGCAATACAGCCAAGCAGTTATATAAATTAAGCCAGTGTGGGAACTGGTGCCCATTTTAAGCTGCAAGTTTGTAGTCTCCTTTGGTAGAATTCACGCTATACATACTAAAAATAAAACTCCTAATAAGAAACCATTTAATTCATAATGGCTGGACAACAAATCTATCAAAAATGAACTATTCATTTTGATAGTTACAAGTATACATTAAATACATAGGCATGTCAAATAGTTACTTCTAGAAGCAAATATACAAATCCTTTTGACACCCCGACAGAACTAGAAGATGCTGCCAGATGGATATGGACCACTTCAGTGAATCTCGGATGAGAGCTTGCACTGGATTGGCTGGAGAGCAGGGTAGCCAATCAGGCCATCCTGAGGTCATGGGCTGAAGTGCAGAGGGCAGAGTTCTATGACTTACCATCATGGACTACCCTTTAATTAAAGAGTAGAAAAAAGAACAAAGTTAAATTGAGTTCTCCATTAAAAGTAATTAGTCAAGCCAAGAAAACAGGAAGCAGAAATAAGCATTATTTACCTTTCGGTTAAAAAAAACAAAAACAAAAAACAACAAAAAGCCCCAAACAAACTTATCTCATTATTTTGGAAAGGGAAAATGAAACTTACTTTATTTCTGCTTCTGTTTTCCTGGCTAGGAAAGAAATCTAAAAAAGTGACTTACCAGGCAGTTTGAACCAGGGTTTGATTACGTTCACATTCTAAGACTTGTAAATACATAACAATGATCTGAAGGACAAGGGAAAAAAACTCAATTTAGTATACTGGTAGTTCTTTCCGAGTAGAGTTCAATGAAAAAAGTAATTGAAAATGTTAGATTCAAGTTATAATTCTGCATCGATAATACAGACCAATTTAAATGTACGTAAGATTCTAATGTGAACTGTTATATGACTAGATTTTATATAAATTCTGTTTAGAAGTACATTTCAGAATTGTACAGGAAAAAAAGGAAATTAAAAGAGTATTTTTCATTGGCACTTTACTATGTGATGGGCACTGTGCTAGATTATTTCACCTCATTTCCCAAGGTACATTTCTAGCCCAGGTAGTCCTGACCTGGCTAACTCACTCTACCGCTTATATTGATAACGAAAGCTAAGAGACGTTGGGAGAAACAAATTTCCGATAATGCTAACAGTGAGCAGCCAACACACTTAGAACATTCTACTATGACAGTAAGTGTGCCAGACACTTTTGTAGCTACACATTTATTCCTTGGAATGAGGAACTTTATATCTCTGTATTCTAGGTGGAAAAACTGGGAGTTTAACCACAGAAACAAAAATAACTTCTCTATGAGCACACAATTAAGATTTAAGATTTGAACCTACATTTTTGACTGTCACTTTACTGATAAATCTCAACATCCAAAAGAATGTTTTTCGAGGAAGCCTGAACCTTTAAAGGAATGCTTTTTAAAACCAAGGTTAATGCTCAGATAGAAACATAAATTCATATAAAATAGAATTTTTAGAAAAGTCCTAATACTTACGAACCCAATTTCTGAACTCTACAACTCACCTTATGAGGATGCTTGACATGAACACAAAATCCCAACTCCTTTAGCACCCTCCTCTCTGCTTTGATAACTTGATTTTTGGTGTTAATGTAGTTCTGATCAAGGATCAGGGGGCTTGGAGTCCTATAGTTTGTAAGAAATAAAATCAAAACTGTTTTGCACATCCAAAAAATTTTATTTGTGGCATCTCCATTTTCCCTTCCAACCAACTATTGGCAACAGAAACCAGCTTTTTAAACTCCTGCAAACAAGTTAAAGCATTAATCTTGTGCTGTCCAAGTTATGCTAATTAAATATATACATCTACGAGACTAAGTTCCTAAAGGAACTAACAATTCTGTAATGAAAAAAATTCACTCCAATGCTCTATTTCATCCTTGCCAACTTTTCCATTCTGCTTATATTCTAGGAGTGTGTATATATATATATATATGTATTTAACTTTAGTGATAGCATGATTTGTTATCACAAACCTCAAAGTCTCTCCAAGAGACTTTCCACTGGCCAAAGTAATGTGCTCCAGGCTGGTCCGATGGTAGTGGGTTATCAGAACTTACTAAAATCAGTGTCACTAAAGTTGGTATACAATCCCCCCACTGCTATTTGACTGGCTTAAAAAAAAAAAAAAAAAAACTAATGTGCTCCTAAGATTTACAGTACTATAAAGTCCTCAAAGATCATACTGATTTTTCAGTCATTCTATAAAATAATAACTCTTGGCTGGTTTATGGCCAAAATTTTTCAAAAGTTGGGGGGGAACAGTGGGTAGTTAATCCAGATTCCCCTCCAATGGGGTAATACGTTTTTAACAATCTGTTGTTAAGAGCCTACCTGTTTAAAAAAGTAATCTGAAAACTATAGATTCAGGTCAATTACCCAAATAAATTAAAAATCACATTTAAAACTCCATGTGACCCATGAGATCCAGGCCAAAATTTGGTCAGGGTTGTAGTTATTAGGCAATATGCTTTAGTATTAATATAGAAGAGAATGAAGGGCTACAGTGAGGGAACCAGAACATATTCAAGGGCTCTGTACCAGACTAAATTTTGGTAACTCGGAAGTTTCTATAATATAGAAGGTTTATGTTAGTGGTTTAATGCTTTAAAAGTAGCACATTCAACTGATGTTATCCCCATATGTTTTATTATATAGTTTAAAAACCTATTACATAGCTTAAAAACTTACAATAAAAGACGATCTTATTTATGTCTTACAATTCGGAACTGGTTTCTTCCCGAGAAGTTTCAGTCAGGAAAGGTTAAGGAATTGGGCTTTTGTTTTCTGTTGTTGGTCATGTCTGAAATTTACCCAAGTCCAACACATTCTTAGATCCAACCAACAAAAACTACAATTGTTATCAAGACACTGATTATATGGTAAAAGTAGAATACTTCAATATTTTTGTCCATACTCATTTCATTTTCAGCCAAAAGACTTAAGAGTCTTTGCTCTAGGCAGGATACACGATCTATTTTTAAGACAGTCATCCTCTCTACCCCAATAAACATCAGATCCAGAAAAATGTATCTCATATTTTTAAAACAAAAATCTACTTTGATACATGCACCGAAGGTCAGAAAACAATCTGCAATGAACTTCATTATCCCTATGGTAATATTAGAGTAAAAAGTCAGTTATCACATTTTCCTTACTTTCCTCCATTTAAAATTATTACAGAAACCGGAATGCTTACTAAACAAAAATTGGCAGAACTGACAAGATAAAAGACATCTGTTACTTAAAATGGCCTTCACTCAGACCCATTCCTCACACCTATGAGGAATGAGGCCACCAGCTGGCCTCATTGAGCTGCTTTCTAATATTAACGTGTAATGATGAATCCATTTTATCAGGACAGTAGGCTACAAATTGCTCTTTGGAAAATAAGTCAAACTTAATTCTCATGAAAGCAACCTCTCTCTCTATATATATATATATACATACACATATACATACATACATATAAACATATTCCAAAGTTCTTAAGGTTTATGATGAGGTTTTATCATCATAGGAAATTTGGAAAAACATTAAACCAACCTCAGACTCTTTTTAACTTATGGTGGTATTATCTAATGGCTCTCCTTAACTGGCATTAAGAGATAAAACAGCTCCAGTGTTACAGCTGCACACCGTTTTAACTCTTAACCCCTTGCGATCCAGACAGAAGATGGTATCATCAAAATCCCTAATAAAATGTAATTTTATGAAAATATAGTTGTCTCATTTTTCTCTATTTGTTAATAAAAATGATTGACACCTCTTAACCTGCTTTAAGAGCTGCCTTCAAATGGTGATATAATTCATTTGTTCTTGCAATTACACTAAAGCAGCTAAATATCTGTTTGAATTATAGCCACTATTTAGTCCCAAATCAGACTTACACGCAATATTCTGTTTTTGTGTCAAAATCCCAACGACATCAAAACAGATTTAAGAAAACTAAACCCATTATTTACTATAATTCAATATACACTTAACTTCTTGCTTAATCCTGCTATTTATTACCCACAATTTTCAAAATTAACTTTGTGGGTATATAACCTAAAACCAGACACTTTTATTTTGTTCAGAATTGGTTCTACCTCACAAATCAAGGGTGCACCCGTAATTTACAACTACCTGGTAGAGATTACTTTGTATCACAAATTTAAAAAAATGTATCTCCATAAACCAGCAGTAAACAAAGTTTCAAATTACAAATTAGCACTTTCTGTTGCAAAAAGCACATTAAATTAAGGTCTGCTAGAATTTTTTCCTCCCTAATCAGGTAAACTTTCCTTGCCAATAAAGTCTGAGGAGGTGGCATTTTAAAATCTCTTTAAAAAAGAAGTCTTCATCTATTCAGAGAAAACTCAGAAATAATTTTCATTATCAACACACAAACTCAATTTCTGCTTTAAGTTTCTATTGTCCGATGTTTCTGATTTACACGAGAATTATTTTCAGTTTTAGAAAATCCTGGTCTTCGGTAATTAGAAGTTTATTATATGGTTTGTTAGAGAAGTTTTTTTCCTTTAGCATGATTATGTAATTGACATATAACTCAACAATAACAAAAATTACAAAGTCCAAACATGGTTAGTCTCATTTATGTGTTACAAAGACTGAGAAATTTTGGAACCAGGTTCTCAAGAGACTGTAAGAGATAGGTAGTTTACAAAGAGGCATACTGCCAAGCAATATACAAAAAATCTGTAATGCCTACTTAAAAGCAGAAACATTCTTTATAGGTATTTAAACAAACTGAAGGCCACCTTGTAGAGCCACAGAATTATACTATAGAAAGCTGGTAGATTAAGTAACATCACTTAATACCTTTCCAATTTGTACCTATCCAACTTTTATTATCTATGGATACACTGAAAGTACATCACATTTACTAATGAGAATGGTTAAAGCAGTCTTTGAAAATTTTAATACGCTGCATCTCAAAAGTAAATATTTGGAAACTACTACAATGAAAAAGCAATCGTCCCTCTAAATTTAGCTATTTATTGTGAACTTAAAAGATAATTATTGAACCACAAAAAATTGAAGGAGGAATAGGCCAAACAATCCAGGATGGGAACTAAGCACTGGTGCTTTTTAAAAAGCTCCTCTGCTAATTCTCAATGTGTAGCCAGGGTGAAGAGACCAATGACCTACAGGCGACATGAATAATATATCTCCACTGTAACTGTCACAGTCACACTACAATTTAAAGTTACGAATAAACGAGATTAAAACAAATAGCATCATCAAGACAAGTATGCTTTACCTAACTAACGTATAATACCGACAGTACTTTCTAATGACATTAACCTGTGCAAAAATAAATACAAAGCTATAGTTCTAATAACTTGGACAGCAAAGACAAAAGCTTGTAACAAGAAACAGGAGTTTTTCTAAATGGTTCACCAGTGGCCAACCTGTTAGTCCCCGATTCCAGTGACCTATTCTCAGAGCACTGGCTTCTCCTTGGGGATTTTCGATACTTCACTCACTGTTGCCATGACGACAGCTTCATCTCTATGTACCACTCCACATCACCCAGGCTTTGGTAAATGTAGCTGGTCGCTGTATAGTCGGTTGCAAGGGAAAAAAGAGTTGAAGTTAATAACATATACAAGTTACGTGCTTGAGTAAACTTGTAATATGCATAGAAACACTTTTACATCCTGCTTTAAAAAAAGGCTTCCATGCAATTAACAACTCCTTTTAAATTTTGCTATAATCAGACTTCTAAGATTGAAACAAAATCAGTTTCTCTGTAATAATGACCCAAAAAACAAAGTTACATCAGACACAACGATCAGGTGAGATTATATTATTTTAAATTCCATGGTTTTTACAGTTAAGACCTATTCTGACATCAACGAAGAAAACTTAGTCTCACAGGAAAATTTCACAAAAGATAATCATATGATTACATAATAGCTGGCTCAATGGTTCAAAGAATAATACTAGAAAACCATTTCCTTTAAGCAAAGAGAAACCTTTGACTAAAGATAGAGCCTTGTATTAGTGTCATAACTTTAAACATCCTGAAGAATCAGCCAGGTATCTAAATACAGATTAAAGCTCAGACCATACCAAAGACCAATTTGAAATCTTCCCAATTCCCAGGGACTCATCAACAAACTAAAAGATGTTTTAGGATTTAAAAATTACTCTATCCCTGGACACAGTTAAGGTGAATGAGAAAAGATGGGGGAGAAAAAGTATGTAGGAAAACTGTTTCAGACTTTTTGACTAGGATATTTTTTTTTAAAAAAAGAACTATCTGTAGACTCACAGAATAGACTAGTCATCTTAAAGTTGCTTTAATATTTGCTTGTCTGAATAGTTCCATTACTGCCAACTTACAGATTCAGCCAATAAGGACTACTCATATAGGATACTAACAGCACTAACCAACATACCCAACCCCCAGAACAACTTATAATCCTTTTAATAACTTCCTTTCAAACTCAGTACACTGACTAACATCACTACAATTCCTTAAAGAGTGAATACAAAAACTAATCTACACCAAATATATCCTTCTGCAGTATGTACTGAAAGTCACCTGTAGATGCAGGAAGTCCTGCAACAAACTTTTTGGTACTGCCTCACAGGAACACATAGGTCCACATAAAATTATGTTACCACAACACCTAGGAGATACTATTTCAGTCTCTGTATTTTCTTACAACATCAAATAGATGAGCCTTATCTAAATGCAACCCAGTCAATCTTGTTAATTTTCTAACCCACTCACTGAGACTGTATCTGACCAAAACAAAATACCTGTTTATTCCCTTTGACTTCAAACTTCAAACTTTATCATCCTGCAGTCCTTTCAGATCCGGTATTATTCGATATATCGTAGTTCAATGTTGAGAAGTACTCTAACAAAAGCCAACCTCAATTGATAAAGAATTAACTGGGACTTCGAGTAGAAAAACATAATCTACACAGAACTTTGCCACAATATTAACTTAAACTACAGTGTTTAAACTTCCACAGCCTTCAGTCTTCAGAGAGGGGAGAGGAAAAATAACTTACAGAATACACTCACACTTGAGCCAAATGTACTCCCTTTCTTGTTTAATCTTAAGCCACAGGCCTGGCTTCACAGCACTGTTAGGATTGTCCATAAATGCAACTGCCTCTACAAACTTTAGATAACCGGTTAATTATGTTTCTTTTTTCAAATTATTTTAAATATCAGTGTTCCTATATGAACTTTAACACCTAAATTAAAGTCCGTTTTCTTTTGCATCCATATTCACTTGAGAGGAAAGATGTTTTGATTTGATGACGGGTGCACAGTACAGCAGTAGCAAGTGATGCTATGTTCAATAATGCCAATCTTACCTTTTTCCTCTTAACTGGCGTAGGTGGTGGAATACATTAATCACATCTCTTATTCTTCTAGGTGCTTCTTCGATTTTTGATGCAAGATTAATACAAGCCATAGCAACAATCTGAAAGAATCCATAAGCCACAAAAGCCATTGTTAGATTAAACTCACTTTGAAGAATAAACTTTAGAACACAAGTGGGACAATCTTTAGTAAAATTAGAGCGGACATTTCTATGCCATAAGCCTACCAGCTATGCTAGTACTACACTCTTTGTTGTTCCACTCATCTTAATTTTGGTTCCAGAGTCAAGCTCAATCTCACAGGACTTCTGTATTTGGTTGAAAACTACTTCTCGTTAAGAGGGCACTTAGGCTCGGGATCCATTTTCTGGATTGTGAACCACATTCTAAAGGTTTCCACTTCCTGGCGAGTGAGAAGTAGGTACAAAGGCCTAAACTAAACCACTCCCTTTCTGGAAAAGCTGGCTGCTAACACTACCCCTACTTCTACCCATTTCCGGATGAAGAAATCCCTTTTACCCGCCTCCGCTGTGCTTACCTCGAAACTGTGTTTGACGAAAGATTTGGAGTAGAAAAAACGATGAAACAACACCTGCCCCGTTGCCATCGCCACCTGCAGACAAGAGAGGAGAACGGAAGCGCAGGGGTCAGGCGGGCCCGCTCCAGGCGCCGCCGCCATTTTGTGCCGCCGATCGCTTCCCTTTCCCCTCCCGCCGCCGCCGCGAACAGCCCGCTGCCAGGTCCTCCCTCCGCCTCCGCAGCCCCCCGCCCCGGCACACCCCGGCCCCGGCTGGGCCCCGAATGGGAGAGCCTGAGGGAGCCGTCCCCACCCTCCCGGGGCACGGTGATACTGGGATGCGGCGCAGGGGACGGAGGGGAGGAGAGGAGCGCCCAGCCGACCCAGGGCCAGAGCACTGACCTGCGGCAGCCGGAGGAGAATGCCGGCGGCCTGGATGAGCTCGCAGCCCAGGATGCGTAAGTCTGTCTCGCTGGGCAGGTCGAGCCCGTCCTGCATGGATGGGGTGGGCGAGAGCCTCTCCTCCGGAATCAGAGAGTGGTCGATGGTGAGTGAAACTTCCGAGTACAGGCGATCGCCGATCAGGATCCCTCCCGTCGTGGTCGTCGTCGTGGTCGTCGTCCCGGAGCTGGAGCCGCCCGCGCTTGGGGCGGCAGACGAGGCGGCGGCGGCAGCAGTAGCTGTCGAGTGAGGCCCGGACGCCATAGTCTTAGCGAGCTGCACGCAAGCTCAACGCAGCCGGAACCCGAAACAAGACTAACCAGCGTTCTCGGCGCGACGGATATTCCCGTGACCGCCGGGTTCTGGGCCGCTTCACGCCGCGTGCGCTTCCGCCCTGACGTCACCACGCCGGGCCGCCGCGCGCCAACTAGTCCCTTCAGGCCGCGCCTCCGCCCTCGGTATTCGTGCCTGCGAGGAGAGTGTTTGGTGCTGCGACAGACCTTGGGGTCATCAGTGGCTAAGGAGGCCTTCTCTAGCCAAGGCCTGTCGACACCACCTTGTGATACTTAGCCACACGAATAATGGAGCTTTACAAGATCCCTTATGCCCAAAATAGAGATGGCGGCGTTGGCTATCATCTCTGCGCCCCTTCACCCTGCGTTCCGGCCTCTTCCTTTAACCTCGGCGCTGCCAGTGTTCCGCATGTACCAAGGGAAGTGGCGGCCGGCCTGAGCGCGCTTTGGCGGGTGAAAGTGGTGACTGGTGTCGTGTGTGGGCGAATGTGTAATATAAACTGACCCTCAAGGAACCTGGAGAGGGCTGCTTTACAGTATTTATCCAGCTTTACAGTATTTGAAGAACACAGGACAGTGGACTGTATCGGTTCCCAGATGAAAGTTCCCCGGGGGGCGTGTTTTTGCCAGTGTGAGGAAGTAGGGCGGAGGCACAGGAATGACCGCGAGGGCGGCTGCTTTCGTAGCTCCGCTTGCAAAACTCCTGCTCGGCCTTTGACACTGACAAGGCTTTCAGTAATCTGGAAAATCCCTAGTTTCCAAAAATAGTCTTAGGGCGAGGACTTGACAGAGGTAATTTGATTATGCCTGGGAGTGTCAGTTCATACATGGTTACCTGCCGAGGATAGGCAGAGTAGGTGAAGTCAACCTCGTGGGGTTTTTTTTCTGTGATGTTAGCTAGAAATTTCCAGCATTTCCTGAACATTGAAGTAAAAACGATGATACTGATCTAAACTACTAGAATCTAAGTTGGAAGGAAAGTAATGCATCACGTTTTACTCTTGACGCTCAGAAAGCGATACCCCAAAGACTGAGAAGCTTTAGAAGCTGCCTCATAATGCAGGTCCCCCTAACCTTGACTTGTTGCCCGCCCTTTCCCCAAGTGCAGGGAGGTGCTCTCTGAAATTTCCTTCCCAGGCTAGAGAAGCCTCTTTGTAGAAGAAACAATCGCATTTCTCCCCTCACTGAGATCTGGTATCCTATTTCAGAAAGACAGAAATGCAGCCATGCCTGGAGGGACTTTTTCACAAGATAACTCTAAAGAAAATTATTTGCTAATTAGTTTCTGTCCATTCATTCTTCCTAATAATCATTTGCTGCTTCTCAAAATAAATGTCTACATTTCCCATCTCCCCTTTCCCCTATGAAAAAAGGATATAAAATCTTCTGTACTCCATTAGGCTACTGGGTCATGATTCTCCTGCTATTACTCCGGTGTTATGTATGCCTTGTCTCCTGTTAATCGCCTGTTATCAGTTGATTTTTTTTTTCTTTTTTTAAGGTGGAGTCAGTCTCTGTCGCCCAAGCTGGAGTGCAGTGGCGTGATCTCGGCTCACTGCAACTTCCGCCTCTCGGGTTCAAGCGATTCTCGCACCTCAGCCTCCCCAGTAGCTGGGATTACAGGCACACACCACATGCCCAGCTAACTTTTGTATTTTTGTAGAGAGGGGGGTTTCACCATGTTGGCTAGGCTGGTCTTGAACTCCTGACCTCAGGTGATCCGCCCGCTGTGGCCTCCCAAAATGCTGGGATTACAGGCATGAGCCACCACACCTGGCCTTACCAGTTGATTATTTAAGTGAACCTTCAGCGGCAAAGTTGTTTTAAAACGTACTGATAATTGAGCCTTGTCTGCAGAGGTTGAGGTCATTGATTTAAGGTGGGCCCAGCCAGTGGTTCAATTTTGCCTGTCTTCCAGTGATTGGAATGTACAGCCAAGAGAGTGTAATTATGGTGCTGGCAGAAGTATTAACCTATCTGGATGTCACTGTCTTCACTTTCTGACTAGGCTGCTTCTTTCCACCTCAGTATTTATGAGAGATCTATAATTTTATAACAAACTTTTAAAGGAGACTTGGTTTCCTTAAACACAACTGATAACAGCAGTTTTCTGGTTTTCTTCCATTTTTGTTTTTAGAGCCACTGTCTCACTGTGTTGCCCAGGCTGGCTTTGAACTACTGAACTCAAGGGATCTTCCCACCTCAGCTACCTGAGTAGCTGGGACTATAAGTGGCACACCACTGTGCCTGGTCAGTTTTCTGGTTTTGATAACCTTTGGTTGTGTGAGATATTATCATTGGGGAAAGTTGGAGGAATATATAGGAGAAGTCTATTTTTGCAACTTCCATGTCTTATTTTCAAATAACCCTAATTGATTATTTACTTCATTGAAACATTGGACTTCAATGAAATCATTACCTATATTTGTAATGACTTGAGAGTAATATAATTTAACTTATTTTTTTGACCTCTGAACTTTTTATTGGCCTCCTGCCCCAAAGGGTACCCTGCTTCTGCTGGTTTAATGTCTCAGAACTTTGGTGTCTTTGGTCTCAGATACCACTTTGCCATCCACTATCCAGTGGATGGTGGTCTTTTGGATGGTTTGCATGGAGTTGCTGTTGTCCAGGGCATCACCAAGATTGAAGTCCTTGCCGTCTTCCAGCAGGTGGCGGTAGGTGGCAATCTCAGCCTCCAGCTTGACCCTGATGTTCAGCAGGGCCTGGTATTCCTGGGTCTGGCACTGTCCCTTTGCCCGGGCCTGTGCCAGCTCTGACTCCAGGTGCAGCAAGATCCTGTTAAGCTGCTCCATCTGCAGGGCATAATAGGCCTCCACCTCCCTTAGGCTGTTCTCCAAGCTGGCCTTCGGATTTCTCATGGAGTCCAGGTTGATCTCCAAGGACTGGACTGTATGTCCCTGTTATCATCATAGCAGCTCCAACCTGGGTGGACAGTGTGATGACCCCTGTGGTGCTCTCCTCAATCTGCTAAGACCAGTACTTGTCCAGCTCCTATTGGTTCTTCAGAGCCAGCTTGCCATATTGGGCCCAGATGTCTGCCATGATCTTGGTGGGATCCTGAGATTTGGGGACATCTACCTCCACATTCAACCCAGAGCTAGCAGTCTGGGCTTGTAGGACTTTTACTTCCTCTTCGTGGTTCTTCCTCATGAAGCACAGCTCCTCCTTGAGAGCCTCAATCTGTCTCCAGCTGCAGCCGAGTGACATTGGTGTCATGGATTTCGTTTCCATGGATGTTGTTCTTCACAGACTGGCGTGTGGCCAACTCTGTCTCATACTTGACTCTAAAGTCATCAGCAGCAAGACAGGCATTGTCAATCTGCAGAATGCATTGTCCACAGTATTTGCAAAGATCTGAGCCCTCAGGTCCTCGATGGTCTTGAAGTAATGGCTCCAGTCTCTGACCTGGGGTCCCTTCTCCAGGTGCTCCTGGATTTTGCTTTCCAGCCTCTGGTTCTTGGTCTCCAGACTCCTCACTCTGTCCAGGTAGGAGACCAGGTGGTTGTCAGGCTTTGCATGGTCTCCTTGTTCTGGATGCCACTCATTCCTGCCAGACCCCCAGCCATCCCTGCGGCCAGGACCTGGGACCCCATGCTGCCCCAGAAGCTGGTGGAGTGGGACATGGAGATCCGGGAACCAGAGCCCCTGGCGCCTGCACAGACGCTGGCCATGCTGCTGACCAGCTGGGAGTTGTAGCTGGGCGCCTGGACAGAGCCCAGGCACTGGTAGTTGGTGGAGAAGGCAGAGTGAGTGGTGAAGCTCATGCTGTCCAGGGAGGAGGGTAAGAGGACAGGACTCAGGCTTTGCCGACCAATTTAACTTATTTTTAAGACATATCTTAATGAAAGATTTTCTCCTCTTTAGAGTCTTCCACTATGCCTCTCCAATAAGCTGGCTTGGTGACGTCTTGATATACTTTATATTTTTACCCACTAGGTTCATGATTAATCCAGTAAAGGTTCACAAGCATAGGAGGGAGAAGTCTGGGGGATGTGGGTGGGAGGAGGGTCCCTTGCTCTCCAGTAGTGCCCCTCTCTACTTCAGAGATCTGTTCCCAGTGGACCTCTGCTCTCTACTTCCTGTATCTGGCAGTCATTTCCAGGAGAGCAGAGCCACCCAGGGCAGTTCCATAATTTTGTGCCCATTTCCCACTCATTTCTGACAGAACCCTTCATTTTATTGAAAACACATGATTGTTTTTACTGTTCCTCCCTCCCAGCTTCAACAAAAGAGGAGGGGGTGGGTCAATATTTTATATAGGTATTTACTTAGCATTAACTCATCAAACTGTCATGTTATTTTAAACTTTAGTTTCGTTTTTTAAAAATCTATGACACTCTAATTGGAGGTGGCAAACAAAAAAAAATAATCATGGATAATCCAGCGGATGGAGGGCATGGGGCTAGTGGCTCTACTCCACAAGGTTTTGTAAGGATGGAGGTTTTAAAAAAAATGAGTCTCTTTCTGTGGATGGGAGGAAAAAATATTTTTTTAAAATGGTAACTCTATCCTATCCTTTCAGAGTCAAATTCCAGAAAAATCATACTTTGGAAAACCTGTTATAGTGTCTCTTTTTTGTTTTTTTTTTTTTTTTTTTTTGAGACGGAGTCTTGCTCTGTCGCCCAGGCTGGAGTGCAGTGACTGGATCTTGGCTCACTGCAAGCTCCACCTCCCAGGTTCACACCATTCTCCTGCCTCAGCCTCCCGAGTAGCTGGGACTACAGGCGCCCGCTACCACGCCCGGCTAATTTTTTGTATTTTTTGTAGAGACGGGGTTTCACTGTGTTAGCCAGGATGGTCTAGTGTTTCTTTTTCTTTCTCTCTTCCTCCCCTCCCCCCCCCCCCCCCCCCCCCCCCCCCTCCCCCCCCAACACACCTTTTTTTGAGACAGGATTTCACTCTGTCACTCAGGCTGGAATGCAGTGGGACAATCACAGCTCACTGTTGCCTCGACCTCTCTGGGCTCAGGTGATCCTCCCACCTCAGCCTCCCAAGTAGCTGGCACTACAGATGTGCACCACCACTAATTTTTGTATTGTTTTGTAGAGACGGGGGTCTCACTGTGTAGCCCTAGTTGCTCTGGAACTTCTGGGCTCAAGAGCTCCGTCCACCTTGGTTTCCCAAAGTGTTGGGATTACAGGAGTGTGCTACAGGGCTCAGCTGTGTTACCTTGTTTCTGTTACTTTGTGGAAGGTTGCTTTTCCAAATGTACCTACTTATAAAACATCGACATTAAAATGCAGATGTGGGAAAGTCCACTGGGCACAATGGCTCACACCTATAATCCCAGCACTTAAGGAGGACAAGGTGGAAGGATCGCTTGAGCCCAGAAGCTTGAGACCAGTCTGGGCAAGAAAGTGAGACCATCTCCCCTTTTTTTAAACAAAAAAAAAAAAAAAAAAAAAAAAGGAAAGAAAAAGAAAACAAAAGTGGAAAGGGCAAGACCTAGTCACAATTATAAAGGATTCAAAGTTAGGAAGAGTGAAGCTCGTGTTTTTTTGTTTTTATTTTATTTATTTATTTTCTGAGACAGGACCTCACTCTGTTGCCCAGGCTGAAGTGCAGTGACATGATCAAAGCTCACTGCAGCTTCTACCTCCCAGGCTCAAGTGACTCTCCCACCTCAGCCTCCCCAATAGCTGGGACTACAGGCACACACTACCAAAACTAGCTAATTTTAAAAAACTTATTTTTTGTACAGACAGAATTTCACCACATTGCCCAGGCTAGTCTTGAACTCCTGGGCTCAAATGATCCTGCTGCCTCCACGTCCCAAAGTGCTGGGATTACAATTGTGAGATGCTGCACCTGGCCAAGCCCACTTTTTTTTTTTTTTATGTTGGTGCAATAGTAATTACGGTTTTGCCATTTTAATAGCAGAAAAACACAATTACTTTTGCACCAACCTAATATAAATGCATTAGTAGAAATGAATCCAAGTAAGTAATATGAGACTACTGGAAAGTAAATGACTGAATTCCTTGTCACTCTAAGAAAAAATGTGATAGTCTGTAATTGTACACACACAGCAGAGGTCTGGCTACTAAACCCTGAGTTCACCCATGTCTAAAAGAAAATCCAGTGATAAGTAAACATATCATTACTGTTTCAACACAGGCAGGCTTCCAATGACAACTGAAGAGACAAGTGGAATTATCAGTGGCCTACCTGGGGCTACTGAAGAATGATATACCTGATGTTTAAATTAGTTCTCATTCTACTAGACTCTGTTCCCTCTCTGGGGAGCATGGTTTTCATTATTTACATTTCAGGTTCTTTAATCTTAAAATCACAATTGGCATCATTCCATTAATTTATTCAGCAATCACCAGTAGACCACAGGAATTTAACACTTTGCCACCAAAACCTAGGCAAATGAAGTCCCCAGCTAGAAGGAGCTACACTCAGAAAGACAAATGTTAAGGTGACCAGCAAGTATAAAAAGCAGGCAGAGAAGGGATAAATCGTCATGCTAGATGCCATTATGGAGAAGGTATAACCTTAAGAAGTTGCTAATCAAATTTCTGTTGATGGCAGAAACAGTGGAGCATCTGACTTTATGCAATAGCCGTCCTCTCTGTTATATGAGTACACACATTCTGAACTGGTTGTTCTCTTCATTAGAAATAGAGTCACTCTATAAATGATTTGTAATGAACACTTAGGCATATGCTGCCTGGTACATCTCCTAATATCCCTGGCCTGGAGATTCTGCTGCTGGCTCTGCTGAGAATTAGTCCTGAGACTTTGGGCAAACATAGTTTTCTCATCTTTAAAGTGAGGGAGACTGACCTTTGCAGGTCTAAAATTATTTGACTCTGATCATAAACATATCTTGAACTTCAGACTCATTTTTGGTTCTTATTTCTTCTTTCTGTGTTAATCACCAAGTTCTGTTGGTCCTTCTAGGAAGGAAATTGTTTTTGAATCTCTCTGTTCTGTCTATTCTCACAGCTACACATCTGCTGTTACATCATGTTTGGACCATTATAGTAGCCTCCCAAATGGTCTCCTTGTCTCTATTTTCTCCCATTCCTTATTCGTCCTGGGAAATCTCTCAGTCTTTTTGAAATACCGATTTCCCTACCTCACTTTCTTGAACAAAAACTTTGGAGATGAAAAATAGAGATTGTGACTTCTCAGCCTTTTGACTAAGATCAAGTGTAAAAGATAGAGATCAAACACCTTTTGGCAGCTGAGGCTTTCCACAATCTAAATTTACCTTGTCTTCTGTTTCCTTGTCACATTACCACCTCACCTTATTCCCCACTGTCTCTGCCTGAACCAGGACCAACTGGACCTGTCTGCTCACTAACGAACACGTCATTTACTTTCCCTCATCCTGTTTCTCAAGCCTGCAATATTCTTACTACTCCTTGCTAATCAAATCCTAGCAAGTATTTTGAGACTTGGGATGTTCTACGTTTTGCCGAAAGCCTTCCACCAACTAATCTAACTTACACTAATTTTCCCCTTTCTCAGAGCCCCTCCTAGCATTTATGACCTCTAGTATGTATTTTGACACGATTCCATACTATTATACACTATTACTGATCTTATCATGGGTGTATGTTTGGACAAAAATAAGACCATTTTCCATTTATTTTGCATCCTCTACGGCACCTGGTAGACACTGTATGTTAGGCACATAATCAGCACGCATGGACTGAATTTGCCCACTTGTTTCCTAGTGCCTTTCATAGGCAACCTGGTTTTGCCTTTTCCTTTCCATTCCGGAGCTAATTCCATCCTCACATCTCTGTCCTACCAATACAGCCCTCTCTCCCTATGGAGGCTGCAGGGCCCCCATTTATCATGTTCTCTTTGTAGCACTTGGTAGCAGATCAGCCGTGTTTCCACTTCTGCTCTATTCTTTGTTTTCTTACAGTGGGCTAGTTAAATAGTCCGGGACTTCTGCTTCATACAGGCACGGTCTGCAGAACAAGAGCCCTGTTGGAATTGCCATAATCAAAGAGATTGTATATATTGTGGGGGCTGGGGAGGGGGTGGAAACTCACAGAAAGCAGTACGGTGAAGTGTTTTGGTGTCTGGTATACATGTAGGCTCTGGGACAGTTTTGGAGATAGGTCTGGAAATTGGGCATATGTGACTGAGATGTATGGCCAATGGCAGTTTCATAAACTGAACTATAAAGTCAACAAACCCACAAATTTGCTTTTAGAACTAAAGTTAATATTACCCAGTTCAATCTCTCTCTCCTTTTTTTTTTACACACAAAAAAACTAAGGTCCAAAGAAGTACTTGAAAATAGTAGAAAATAAATATTAGCTGATTGCAAATAATCTAATCAAGTTAGTCTTTAGACAGATTCATTCTTTATGGTATTTAATGTCAGAACCAACTAGTCTTGATTTTAGTCAGCAGTTGAAGAGTAAATCATACTTGACAGCATGACAACTAAATAGGACCCATCAAGGAAATCTGGCTTTGCTGACACCTTGATTTCAGACCAATGAACCTGACTTAGGACCATCTGACCTCCAGAACTATAAGAAAATAAATGTGTGTTGTTTTAAGCCATCAAGCTTCTTGTAATTTGCTACAGCAGTCCTAGAAAATATACAGTGACCTTAGGGATTCTTCAAGTAAGGTAAACTTCAGTAATATCTTTACCTCAATAGCACTGGAAAATCAGATAAGCCATATTAATTATGTTTTTTAATGTTATCAGGTGTGGGCCACCAGCCTTAAGCCAGGGGGAGCTTTGTAAGACAGGAACATATAAAATGATAAAAGCTTCACTACATACAGTTTTCCTGACTCTGATTCTGAGTGGGACAACCAGTGAAAATTGCAGGTGAAGAGAAGAAATGCATATTTATTCCTCCACTGGGAAAAAAATACTGTCAAAAGCTATGTGACTTGAGGTAAATTAATTTGCTTATTTAGGCAATTATTTAAGCTCAGTTTACTCACCAATAAAATGATAACACCTACCACAAAAGATTGTTAGGAGACAAAATGATTATAGATTAATTCATGTATTTTCCAGTCCTTGGAAATGCAGATTCCCTATGTGGTGTTGGTCAATGGTTAATGCCTGTTTTTCTGGCCAGGGATTTTTGATCTGCCAGCTGTGAACAGTTTGTCTTCATTCATTCATCTTTAAATTCTTACTTATTAATTGACAAGTAAGTACCAGGTTCTATTCTAGGCATTGGGAATGTTTCTTGTACAATTAAAAATAGAAAGGGACCTAGCAAGTCCCTGGAAATGACATTTTTAAAATGATTCCATTTTCCTTTTAAGGATTAAGTTGTAATTTTATTTTGAGCAACGAAGTGACCCCTTTTAGTAATGTTTTCTATTTCATAATAAACATTCAACAGAAATAGAATTTCATGAGGAAACTTTTACAAATAATGAGAATCAGCTATTCCGAAGCTCCCTACACATTTTAATCCGTGTCCTCCCAGGAACACATTCATTAACTATTTTGAACACTATAAAACAAAAGTAAACCGGCACCACATCAAGTTCTCTGCATATAGTTGTCATGTCTGTTTAAATTCTCTAGCAGTTTGTGTGTGTGTGTCTTGTGATATTTTTCACAGTTCCAGGCCAGCTGTTTTGAAGCATGTTCCTAAATTTGGGTGTGTCTGATTATTTCTTCATGATTAGATGCAGGTTAAATATTTTTCAAGGAATACTCCATAGGTAATGTTGTATCTACTCCATGCTTCGCATCTAGGGGCACACATTGCCCAATTTTTTGTTCAATTATTGGCTAATTTTTATCATTTGTTAAGGTGGTGTCCATCACATTTCTCCATTGTAAAAGTACCTTAACACCCTTGCAATTAATAAGTAATCCATGGGGTTATTCTTCCACAATAAATAGCATTCTCTATAACAAATATCAGTATCAAAGAAAAATGGCCTATAATGAAATTTTGTACAGTTAGAATGACTTTAACAAACCTCTAGTGAGTATTCACTAAACTATGTTATGCTAGGTACTAAGACCAAAGTGGTGAACAAGTAGAGTACACGGAATGCTACATGAAAGGGCAGAATACTGCAGGAGCATACAGGAGAGGAGCAAAGACCATTACATGTGAAGAAATGGAAGTTCAGAGATGTGAAAGGACTTGACCAAGATTTTAGATCCAGTAGCAGAGGTGAAATTAGAACTGTGGTTTTTCTCATGCCCAGTCCAGTGTTCTCTCCATGACCACACACAACGGCTCTACTGTAATGTTGGTTCTCCGGAACAAGTATAGCATTTGTTACCACAGTGAAAACAATGATACCTTAGTACTAAAACAACAAGTTTTCTCCAGATCCACCACAAGGTGCTTTAGAGGGAATTTCAATTTAAATTATGTACTTTGTAACATTAAAGTCACTGGAGACCTAGTCTAGTTTTGCCTCAGGAAACTGTTTCTTTATAGAGTCACTGTCACACATATACATAGGCACATACACACGCAGGCACATGCAGACAGCACATAACTGGATATTGCTTACCAGCCCCATCTTAAAAATACCACAGAACAAGATTTTTCTTTTCAGCAATGAGGAAACAGTTCAGAGGTATCTACATCCTAGTCTTGAGAGTAACGACTTACATCTGATACAGAATTTTTATAGTTTACATAGTATTTTCATATACTATCACTGGACTCTTGAAAACAACCCAGTTAAGGCAGGTGTGGTTGGGCACACCTGTAGTACCAGCTACTCAGGAGACTAAGGTGAGAGGATCACTTGATCCCAGGAGTTCAAGTCCAGCCTGGGCAACATAAGGAGACCTCATCTCTTAAAAACACCTGAATTGGCCAGACACGGTGGCTCATGCCTGTAATCCCAGCACTTTGGGAGGCCGAGGTGGGTGGATCACCTGAGGTCAGGAGTTCGAGACCAGCCTGACCAACATGGTGAAACCCCATCTGTGGTGGTAGCCGGGTGTGGTGATGCATGCCTGTAATCCCAGCTGCTTTGGGAGGCTGAGGCAGGAGACTCGCTTGCACCCAGGGGGCGGAGGTTGTCGTGAGCCAAGATGGCGCCATTGCACTCCAGCCTGGGTGACAAGAGCGAAATTCTGTCTCAAAACAAAAAACAAAAACCCACCTGAATTATTTCTTAAGGTGGGAAAGAGGGATCAGTGTAAAATGTTGGCTGGATTACTGTCTTGCCTTTAGATATAAAAATATCTAGTGTATACCTAATTTTCAGAATTAAACAACTAGGGAACGATCAAACGTATATATATCTTCTTTTTCAAAAGCCTGTGGCACCCAGTGTTTCCAGGTGGTCTCCCATTCAAGGACTAGCTAAGCAGGTCGGACCCTGCTTAGCTTCCAAGATCAGAGGAGATAGGGCAAGTTCAGGGTAATGTGGCTGTGGCCCATACGTTTTTATACATATAATTTATTTATATTCATTCAATCAATCCTACTCCGAGCAGGATGATCTCAGCTTCAAACTCAATAGCTGGATCTGGTGGTCAGCTCTATCAGGCAGTGTTTTGTCATGGGATTTAAGACCTCTTGTGCTTAGTTTTGGATCTGTAAACATAAATCCCAACCCGAACTCTTCCCTGTGCTGTCAGAGTTCAGGGAGAAAGGTGGCAGTAGATAAGTCATATACTGGAAAAGCTTCGACTCTACCCTGTCATGAAAACTTCCAGGAACATTTCTTATTTCTTTTTAGAGACAACGTCTCACTATGTTGCCCAGGCTGTCCTCGAACTCCCGGCTTCAGCAATCCTCCCGCCTCACCCTCCGATGTAGCTAGGACTACAGGACCCCGACCCGGCGCCGCCTAAGAACTGTTTTTAAACGTGAAAGCCACGATTATCATTTGCTTTTTGCTCTTCCTTTCATCTTCTCGGTAAGAAACCTCGTAACACACTGCTTGCTTTGGGATAAGTGAATTCAAGTATTATTATGGCATTTCCAATTTTCACGGAAGAACTTTGGCGATATCATAATCGTCACAAGCCCTGAAAGGGCCATCAAAGGTCAAGCAGGGAGGTGGGTTTCCTGGAGGGCTTCACTGTGGAGTAAGTGACTGGAGGGGGCTGATCAGTTTCCCCTTTCCCGTTTCCCAGAGCTCAGTGGTAGTCGGCTGCCTACACCCCGTCAGACAAGTGGCCTGAGTCCCCCGCAACCCCTGCAGGTCGGGACCGCCCCCGCCAAGCCTCAAGGTGTTCAAGCCAGGAACGATCGAGGTCAGCTCTGCCACGGAACATGTTTAAGACCCGGCAGCAGGTTCCGGGGGAGGTGAATTGACTTCACAACGGTCGAGAAGGGGGAGCCCGCCCACTTCGTCATTTCTCGGAATCCCAGGGGACTCGCCGGAAGAGCGGCTCACAAGCCGGAAAACCGGCAAATCCGAGGTCTCTCGGCTCATGCGCCGCGCACACCTCTTCGCGTGATTGCTGTAGAGAGGATCCCTCCGCCAGCCACTGCATCCGGCGGCCGGATCTAACTTGCCTGCCAGGGTTCTACCCATGAGCGGCCGTGACGTAGGCGGTTCTTTCCCTTGGCCCCTCCCTCCGCGGCACCGCCTCTTGTGACGTAAGCCTCAGAATCCGCTGGCTTAGTCCGTCTCTGTTATCCCTCGCCTGATCATCCCTGGGTCTGAGCAAAAGTAAAAGTAATTTTGTCATTTCCTGAAACTTCAAGTTAAATTTTTGAGCTGTTCATTTCCTAAAAGGGCGAAAACGCGGACACTCCTCGAGCTAGTTCATCGCCTTTTAACCTGGGAATTCTGTTAAAAGGAAGTAACTGCGAAAATGTGTTCGCTGTTAGGTTTCTTTGGAAGCTTTGGGTTGTGTTCATGCGTTCTCTCGGCGTGTGAACTGGGAGAAAGTGGAGCGCCAGCCAAATAAAATGACAACTTTGTATATGGGGGCTGGGAGGTATGATGCCCGTTCTAGCTTGATGAAATTAATGTAATTTTAATTAAGTTTAATTTTCGTTTGAATTACCCAGGAATAGCATCTTGAAAGGCGGGGCATAAAAAGCAGTTAAAGAGCTTCGAGAAACGGTTAATCTTTTTGTAAACTAAAGACCAAATGAATATCCAAGTGCATTAGAAAAGAAGTAAACTTATAAGGGCCGAAGGTTTTGTCTGCAATTTACAGCTAATTGGTCTCAAAAAGATTTCTGTGACTTGCCCAAGAGAGGTGGACTTGGGGCCACTGTTTTCACAGGGACACCACCAGGGCCCGCTTGAATACTGCCGCCCTTAGGACCCGCCGTACATGGCCGTCCAGGGCCTCTTTTCTTGTCTTCCACTCTCACTTGTCTGTTCTCCCCTTTCCATGTCTTTGGTTCCTTTCCTGAGTTTCCCTTGTCTCCACTCCCCTTCCCGTTTGCTTCCTCTGTCTCTTTAACTTCTGTTTCCTTGATGGTGGAGTCAACTTTCCTTTCCTTTAAAAGGCCATAAAAGGAAATATAATTATTTTTAAAACGTCTTTTCATAAGGCTTGTTTTCTTGTCCTAAGCCTGTTTTTTTTTTGAGGGGAGTGAGTGAAAAAGTTCATATACAGATAGACATAAAACTTTCTCTGGTAAAAGCTGCCCTCTATTTTCTTCCACAGCTATCCTGTGAAAGTAGGAGTGTGTGTGAATGGTGAAGCAAAGAGAGGGAAACATGGGTTCAGTAGAAGAGGGAGCGCAGTGTGTGTAAGGAGTTAATTAGAACGAGAGGGCCCCGGGTCTGTGGCTCATGCCTGTAATCCCAGCACTTTGGGAGGCTGAGGCGGAGGACCTTTGCACCACTGCACTCTAGCCTGAGCAACAGAGTGAGACCCAGTCTCAAAACAAACAAACAAAAACAGAAACAGGAGAAAAACCATCCATATAAGCAGAGAGGTACTTAAAATGTTGCAAAACTCAATTCCAAATAACATGTCTGTGGATTCTACAAAATCTAGGAAGCGCATATTTCCAATCAATCTTTGTATATTCATCTGTAATGCATTTCCTTAGATGATTTGGGTCTTTTAGGAATAAATCTGTAGCTTTAGCTATCCCCAAAGTAATCACAGGCGTTCACTGTCTATTCAATGACAAAGTATTGTGAACTATTATATGAAATAATAAAATATCAGTGTTTTCAGACTGCGTGCCCTTTTCAGTAGCCTTTTCAGTGTGATGACACCTGTGCCCAGTTCTGCCAATGGATGTTGTTATCTTTGATCTACAGTTGGGAAGCTAAAACCCAGAAGGTTACTTGTCTAAGACTATACGCCTCCAATAAGGCAGAATTGTGGTTGCTATTTCCAATTTTTCTAGTCTCTGAACATATAATTAAAGAACTAATTTCCAATTTACAATGAATAATAGAATTTACTAAAACATAACAACTGACGACAGTGTGCTGTTTTATTCCCAATTTCTCTATCTCTTTCTTTCGTTTGTGACAGTCTTGCTCTGTTGCCCAAGCTGGGGTGCAGTGGTCAGGTCTCCACTGACTGCAGCCTCTGCCTCCCAGGTTTAAGCGGTTCTCAGTGCGTCAGACTCCCCAGTAGCTGCGACTACAGGCAGGCGCCACTACATCTGACTAATTTTTGTATTTTTTAGTAGAGGTGGGGTCTCACCATGTTGGCCAGGCTGGCCCCAAGTTCCTTGTCTCAAGTCATTTGCCCGCCTTGACCTCCCAAAGTGTTGGGATTACAGGTGTGAGCCACTGTGCCCGCCCCAGTTTGTTTCTTTGGTGTTTGTAATTCTGCTTGGTCAACAGTAACTTGCAGAAATTGATTGGAACATATATTTTGATAAAGTATTTGAAGGTATTCCTGAAGTTTGATTTATGTTTCAGGAGCCTATATTGAAAGAAAATAAACTGCTGTGTATTCCATAATTTAAAGATAATTGTTCATTTTGGTGGCATTTTGTAGTTGGATAGTGGAGACAAATGATGGTACTCTATGATCTTCAATCTAAACATTTATGTTAGGATAAATTATTCCCTTATCTGTATAATGCTTTATTTTTGCCCTGACCTCTACAAATCACAGTAGCACCATTATTCGATCTTGTTCTCTTTTTCAAAAAATTCTACCTTCCAAGGTGGTGGTTCTTTAAGTTTATAAGTGAACCATAAAGTAGTTGGAAACCTGGATCCCAGGATGGTAGAAATATGAAGCTTGTTTATTCCAAAGGACAGTTTTATCTATGTATAGCACTTTATTGTCCTTACTGTATACAGCATTTTAATGGGGAGGGGGAAGTAGGAGCATTGTTGGGGGTTAATTTAATTTTTGTAGTTTTAAAAAACAAACAAATGATTGTATCAGTCTTTAAAATCAGCAATAGTGCTACACTGCTAGAACTTTAGAACATACAGACATGAAATAATATCCTCACCAGAAAAGTGCTAGCCAACTCCATTATTGGGAAGCTTGAGAGTACATTTTGACAACATCTACACTTAGGGGATAAAATTTGAAACAAGAGTTCAAAGGACAAGGTTTATTAACCTTATCCTTTTGTCTTACAAAGAAGACAGAAGCTCTCACAATTAAACAATTTGAACAGAAAGATTAGCAAGGGATTGGTCTTTGTATGTTTAATTACTGTGAAGCTATAATGGAAAACCTCTTGTGGGTCAACATGTATTTGCATGTTTGCAAATAATGTTTTACTTCAGATTATTTAGAAAATATTTTATTCCAAAGTATTGTGAACTTTCAAACATCTATTCTGTAGATGATTGAAATATTTTGGATAATTAATCTGTTAATTCATATTGATACAAATATCTTTGACTGTCATACTCTGCTGCAGCTACTATCGCTACATAGCAAATTGGCCCAAATTAAGCATCTTGAAACAACCATTTCTTATGTTCATGGATTTTGGGGCAATTCACATCAGACACGACAGGAATAATCTCCCCTTCTTGTGGAGTCAGGTCTCATCTCTTAAGCTGGGCTGGCTCAAAGACTAGAATCGCTGATGGGAACACTCATACCTGGCTGCCTTATATGATTTGGTTTCCTTACAGCTAGTGATCTCAGGGTAGTCAGACTTTTTACCAGGCAGTTCAGGATTCCAGGCCTGAGTGTTCTAGTGCACAAGGCTGCATTGCCTAATATAATACCAAGCTTCGGTATCACGTCCACAATAGTCTGTTGGTTGAAGCAGTCACAAGCCTGCCCATAGTCAAGAGGTGTGGCCATAGATGCTACCCCCTCTACCTCTCTATGAAGAGTATAAAAAAACTTACGACCCTGTTTAAAAACTGCCGCTTACTTTATTCAGCTCTCTCATACTCATATTCAACTCTGAAGAATTTTTCTTTAGATAAGCCCTTTTATTTAGAAATCATGCTTGCTTTTACTCTTTATTATTTGGATATATATGTATGTATGGAAATAGACTGAGAGGAAACTTGCCTGTTGATATCTTAATAAAAGTAATTAAAACATTCCCAAGGCTGGGACTAGGACGAGGTGAGTGAGGCACTTGCTTCAGCTGTGAAATTTAAGGCTATGCCGAAAACTCAGTAATCCAAATGAATATTTTCGTGAAGTATTAAAGAAAATTAAATCTAATGCCAAGCAATCTATAATCAAATATCAAAGTTTTAGATAAAGACAGTATGTTATTTTCCTAGGGCTGCTGTAACAAAGTACCCAAAACTGTGTGGATTAAAAGAACATACATTTCTTTTCTGTCAGTTCTGGAGGCCGGGGCTCTCAGGAGGAAACCTCATGCCTCTCTGCTAGCTTCGGGTCATTGCCAGCGATCCTTGATGTTTGTTAGCTTGTCTCCACTCATCTGCACCTCCATCATCACGAGTTCTTCTCTATGTGTCTCTGTGTCCTCTCCTTTTTTTTTGAGGACACCAGCCACTGGACTTAGGGCCCATCGTAATCCAACAGGACCTCATTTTAAATAATTATATTTGCAAAGACCGTTTCCAAATAAGATCACATTCTGAGGCTCTGGGTAGACATGAATTTTTTGGAGGCATTGTTGAACAATACAGATAGGATCAGTGTTACTGATTTTTTTTTTTTTTTTTTTTTTTTTCGCCATAAGATCCAATGTGGCTGAGCATGGTAACCCCCAATCTGCCTCAACATCCAAAAACTTGCTCACACCTATTATAGGAGTAGATATTAAATATGTTTTGGGCAGGGCATGGTGGCTCATGCCTGTAGTTCCAGCACTTTGGGAGGCTGAGGCAGGTGGATCACCGAGGTTGAGAGTTCGAGACCAGCCTGACCAACATGAAGAAACCCTGTCTCTACTAAAATTACAACAAAATTAGCCGGGCATGGTGGTGCATGCCTGTAATCCCAGCTACTCGGGAGGCTGAGGCAGGAGGATCGCTTGAACCCAGGAGGCAGAGGTTGTTGTGAACCGAGATCACACCATTGCACCGCAGCCTGGGCAACAAGAGCAAAACTCCGTCTCAAGAAAAATAATAATAATAATAATAATAATAATAAATGTGTTTTGACTCAAAATAGACAACGCATTACGAGATTTTTTTTAGTAGTTAGCATGGGCTGGCTACTGCTAAGTGAGCTGCTGTTCCGTCACCTCTAGAGCCCAAGACTGAGAAGTTTCACCCACTCATCTATTTCAGCTGCCACATACCTGTATCATGACTCCTAAATCTGTCTCTCCAGCCTCATTACTCTATGAATTCTAGATTCCTTTATCTGGTGGCTCCTGGACATCCCAACTTGTTAGCTTAAAGGCATCTCAAATATAACATATTTCAATGAAGCATTTATGTCTCCTTGTCCTCTTCCCCATCTCCTTCATTGGCATATTCATCCTCCCTGTCCCCTAAAACAAACCCTTGAGAGTCTGTCTACTCTGGTCTCTCCCTCTTTCCCAGCATCTTGTCTGGTTCCACCTCAGAGACAGTTCTGGATCACCTTCCTCTGCCATGATTCTCAACATTTTATCAGCAGGTATCATCTTGGGTATGGAGA